TCTTGTAAATGGCTATGCATTAAACTGTATTGTGGGCTCCCAAGGTAAGATCATCCCCTCCATAAAGCAGTAAATGGACATAATTTTAAAAGTTAACACAGTTTTATATCTGTGTATAAACAAGTTTTTAGAAATTGTATTTTTGACTGATAAGTTGACTAGAAATAGTATAACAACATAGAGGTTGAAATTAGTTTACACATTTGTAATAGAGTTGAGGCAAGTATTTTCAGATATATGGTTATCCCCTTTGCTTGAATAGAGTTGACTTTTCTAAATTAAGTTTGTACTTTCCCAATCAGGGTAAGGTATTAGTTAGGTATAAGTTTAAACTCAATACTCAGTTTAACTTTCCCTCCATAAATTGCCTGAAAAGATTTGACCAGGGCAGAAAGTGATATTTCAAAGACCGAGAAAGGTGGTGGGATTCAGAATTGAACACAGAAATTTTTGGTTATAAATGTACTCACCTATGGTGAACAGAAGACTTGGGGAACTTTTTCTTTCCACAAGAAAAATAATTGTTTTTATACATCTCTTTGGGAAGAAAATTTTCTAGTAAATTGATGATTGTGCAAGATGATCTCTCTGAATGTTTAGCTTTGCATTTTAGTAGTAATTAAGCAGAAATATGATGCACTTGATGTATGCAATGATACGTCTTCAAAATATTGGAAACTTTGGTGAATTTCAAATATTTTAAGATGGATTATTCAGTCTACCCTCACTGTTTATAATCGAGTGGGACCGCTTTCCCATTTGGGAAAGTATATACAAGTCAATTTTTAAAAACTATACTTATTAAAGTGAACAGAAGTAAACTGAGGGATACCTATGAAAAGAAGGTATCACTGTGTTTTAGATGTATTAAAGTTTTATATAGAATCTTAAGACTATTTCTCTCTTTCTTTTAGGAATGCCCAAGAGAATAGTTAATGCTAAAATTGCATGCCTTGATTTCAGCCTACAGAAAACTAAAATGAAGCTTGGTGTTCAGGTGGTAATCACAGACCCAGAAAAACTGGATCAGATTAGACAGAGGTATTCTATAGACAGCTTTTTTAACTAAAATGATGCAGATGGGCTGCTTTGAAATAGGAAACATAAATAAATCTGTATATTTCTATCATTTGTCCCACACTTACTAAGAGAATGGCATCTTGAATACAAATTTTGACTAAGAATATGACAGTATTCTGTCAAATATAATTCTTTCTATATCCAATAGCTACATTAATCTGTAATTTGCAAGATCTGGTTGAGCTAAATTTATCATTCCTGTGCCTGGTAAATGCATTTTTAAAAGTTAGTAATGCCTCTTTTAGTTACTGATAGTATTCTGAAATGTCTCCCTTGAATTAGTCTTGAAAATTAACCAAAAGATCCAGTGTCATAATGGAGAAATAGATTTCATCTACACTTGATTTTTGAGGAAGGAATGGTTAAAGTATTATTTTGACACACTTCTCAACTATTTTAATTAAAAACTTTTGTGATTCTCTTGAACTTAAGTTTATAGTTCTATTTAATCAGTATGCACTTTCTTATGCAGAGAGGCTGACATCACTAAAGAAAAAATTCAGAAGATCTTAGTTACAGGAGCAAATGTTATTTTGACCACTGGAGGCATTGATGATATGTGTCTGAAATACTTCGTGGATGCTGGTGCTATGGCAGTACGCAGAGTTCTAAAAAGAGACCTTAAACGCATTGCTAAGGCTTCTGGAGGTAATTACAGACATCGCTAAATATGATCACGGTTTATATGTCTTGTCAATAAAGAGCTTAATTATGTAGAACGGGGTCCCCAACCCCTGGTCCATAGCCTGTTGGGAAACGGGCTGCACAACAATGGATGAGCGCGCAAGCGCATAAAACTACTTTTGTGCAACGGGTGCACATGTGCAAAACAAATCCACTCCACCCACCGCTGCTGCTGCTGCCTGTCCGCAGAACCAGAAAGGTTGGGACCGCTGATGTAGATGATTACTACTGTTCCTTCAGACTAGTAGATATATAAAATTGTTAATGTTCCTTCAGACTAGTAGATACATAAAATTGTTAATGTTCCTTCAGACTAGTAGATATATAAAATTGTGGTGATTTTGTCAAATCTTTTTTACCTTGTATTAGCCATCGTTTGTTCTAATCTGGCAAATCTGGAAGGTGAAGAAACTTTTGAAGCATCAATGCTGGGACAAGCAGAAGAGGCGGTTCAAGAACGAATTTGTGATGACGAATTGATTTTAATTAAAAAGTAAGGATATACCTACCTTGCATAATTTGTAATGGATGCATTTTGTTGTAACCTTTGAAAATATTTCCCATTTAATTGCTGCCGTGCTATTTTCAAATTGTATGAGCAGTTATACGCGTGGGATAGATTACTTTTAGTCCCCCTATAAACGTTGAGACAGTAAATGTCTTGACTTTGTTGATGGACTTGGACACACAATTCTAGCATTTCCCTACCCTCAAGGTTAGAGATTTATAGTTTGATAATTATTTCACAAGGATTTTTTTCTTTCTGAAACAGTACTAAGGCACGGACCTCAGCTGCTATTATATTACGAGGAGCAAATGACTTCATGTGTGATGAAATGGAGAGGTCTTTGCATGATGCTCTTTGTGTGGTCAAAAGAATACTAGAGTCAAAGTCTGTTGTACCAGGAGGTGGTGCAGTTGAAGCAGCACTTTCCATTTATCTAGAAAATTATGCAACCAGCATGGTAAGTATTTAGTTAAAGTTTAAATTATGTTTTTTTTAGGAAATCAGACTTTAATTAATATTCAGTGCTGTCTATATCTGAAAAGTTTATAGAACTGGGACTGGAGAGGGCATTTAAGTCCTTATTTCCTGCTTAGTGCAGACCATATTAAAGCTTTGTCCGGTGGCAGTCCAGTCTTCATTTCAGCACATCCAGCAAGTGTAGCTTCATTGTCTCTCCATTATTTTATCATACATTAGCTTAAATATTAATAGAATTTTTCTTTGAATTAGGGATCACGAGAACAGCTTGCTATAGCAGAATTTGCAAGATCTCTTCTAGTTATTCCAAATACGTTAGCAGTTAATGCTGCTCAAGATGCTATAGATCTTGTTGCAAAGCTCAGAGCATTTCACAATGAAGCGCAAGTGAATCCGGATCGCAAAAATTTGAAGTGGTAAGTGCATAGAATTGATGGCAAGATTAGAATATTGATTTATTTTATGCATGTTTGCTTAATCTTGTTGAATGAATCAGAATTGGGCATGAACATTCAGCATCCTAAGCTAAAATGATTCCTAGTTTTAAGATGCTAGCATACAGTAAAGTAACCATATAGTTTAAAGCAAGAGTTGGTGTTTGGTCTTATATAGCTGGTTTATAGCTTGCTTTATCAGAAGAAATGGAGTGGTATATGTATTTTGGGTGTGCAAAATCTAGATTTTAATGTGTGGAGTGTTCTTGATAATTCCAGAATGTTCTAGTTTCTTTCTGGATAACAGTCAAATTTCGTGCATGGATTGGCGATTTCCAAGAAGTTAATCCACCAAAATAGAAGTGGTTTGTAATGTTCTGGATATAACTTGAAACAAACTTTCCCTTGGGATTTCAAAAATACTTTTCACTTTGAGGCATTAACTTCTGGAAAACAGGTGAATCTTAGAAGGATCAGCAGGCCCTGACCAGAAGTTGTCATTGTTATTTGGAATATTCCAATTTTTTAATGCTACATTTTACCTATTCTTAGCATATATTACAGCTCCTACTCTGTCAAACATTATGGCACCTGAAATGAAATCTGCCCCCATCTTTCTGGCCTTCCGGAATGGCCTTAAAACATGGCTTTGCCAGATGGCTTGGGCCCGTGGTCCTCTCTGCTGGAGGTGGCTTAAAGTATAAAAGAAGGCTTCATCACCTTGCTGTCCAGCCCCTTGGGTTAAAGTCTTCCTAATTTTAACTCTTAATTTTTTTTACTGTTTTGTAAACCTCCCAGAATTGCTTTATCAGTGAGATGGGCAGCATATAAATTTAAGCAATAAAAATAAATATATGATAAAATGGTTGGGTGTTTGCAGGGAACTACTAAGTACTATTTGACTTCTGTTGCATTTGATGTTGAAAAAGTTGAAGTTGATCTCTGGTTTCAGGTTCAGGGTTTGAGAATATCGAAGACATTTGAAATGTGCATGCCTGTTTAAAACAGTATTTTTTTTTTTTAAGGATCGGTCTTGATTTAATCAATGGGAAACCACGTGACAATAAACAAGCTGGTGTATATGAGCCTACTGTAGTCAAAACAAAGAGTTTAAAGTTTGCAACAGAAGCAGCAATTACTATTCTTCGAATTGATGATGTTATTAAGTTGCACCCTGAAAGTAAAGGTGAAAAAGGAGGATGCTATGAAGATGCAGTTCAATCTGGAGCAATTGAAGACTAAATGAATTTTTATTTACCTATTCCAGTGAAATTCTCTCATCTGTATTAACTAGTATGTTGATGAAAGCAAGCTGTCAGACCCCTGCATAACTAGCAAATAAATGAAATATGGCCATATTTTGTATTTGTATCAGTATTATAATGCAGAATGTAAAGGGGAGGAGGTTGGAAATAACCTGAGGGCTTCAGCGGTAGCTACCACTAACAAAGTCAGATTACAGCCAAACACTTAGATCTTGGTGCATTTCTTGTAAGTATTTTGCTACTAGGAATAATGCAGAATACAAAAACTTCCCTTGTATGCACACAAACTCTGATTGTAGCTTTATGCTAGTGTTGAAGGGAGAAAAAGTTATACTGACTGTTTTTCTCAAAAGTAGGATGAAGTTATCTAGAGGTTATTGGGGGTATGTGGATAATATGTATAGGCTGCCTTCTCCTTTTAAAAGATTCAGTGGATCCCTTGTCTTCATTAGAAATCTTAAGGCAAGAAGAGACCAAGTAGATTGTTGAAGAAAGTTCTACTTAAACTGACAGCAGGATGCTTAGATCTTGCCTAGTATCAATATATAGGTATTGGTTTATATTTCTTTATTACTTACTAATAAAGATGAGTCATGTTACAAATTGATACAAAATCAAAGAAAAGTTTCCTTTTATCTTTCTATACACATAGCTATGCCCATTCCTCCTCCTATACATAAAGCTGCAACTCCTCGTTTTCCACCTGTTCGTTCTAGTGAATGTAGAAGTGTAACTAGGATTCGACAACCAGATGCTCCAAGAGGGTGGCCAAGAGCAACAGCCCCACCTTCAATGTTAACCTGCAAAAAAAAAAATAAAACATCAGAAGCATATGTTAAACGTAGAAGTCTTCCTTTCCTATTTTGGAATCTAATATTTAGAACAAGGACTGAAACCTCTGACAATAGATTTTATAGTGAAGACTCTTATACTGAGATCAGAGGAAAGTTTATCTCTTGAGGCATCACTTGCACAACATACTTGCCTGTTCCTACTTCAAACATACCTTCAATTTTTCTTAGCATTTTTAGACAAACACCTCTATTTGGCTATTCAATTTTTATCCGCAGCCATCAAATTTGTGGAAGGAACGTTCTGCTGTGATCTCCAACTTTACTGCTCACCTACGTAGTACTGGAACTATCATAAAATGGTGTTAACTTCCGGCGGTTCTACCTAGGGAAATCAGTTATGTCTGAATGCAGCCCTGAAATAAGTGCTTGGCCTTACTGCCATGCGCTCAAAAGCCCGATTGGGGCTTTCCCCCAAAATAAGAGATGTCTTATTTTGGGGGAAATGGTATATATTCCTGAAGTACAATATTGCTCTTCAATTGCAGAATCTGCTAATGCACTTGAAGTAAATGGACCACCAAGAGAGCCCCTGAGAAACTTCCAGAGAAGGGGCGTTGGTCTTGCTGAAGACAGGCCAAATAGTAGGGCCTTGTACTGATAGCGTCAGCCTGCATAGTGGAACTCTAGGAACTGCCAGTGGGATGGCAGGATAGGCACGTGGAGGTATGCCTCCGTCAGGTCGATGGATGTTAGGAAGTTGCCTTCTCGGATACTCTCCAGTACGGACTGGAGGGACTGCATCTTAGAATAGAATAGAATTGCTATAGAATAGAATAGAGTTGGAAGGGACCTTGGAGGTCTTCTAGTCCAACCCACTACCGAGGCAGAAAACCCTACACCACTTCAGACAAATGGTTGTCCAACATCATCTTTAAAATTTCCAGTATTGGGGCATTTACAACTTCTGCAGGCAAGTTGTTCCACTGATTAATTGTTCTGTCAGGAAATTTCTTCTTAGTTCTAAATTGCTTTTCTCCTTGATTAGTTTCCACCCATTGCTTCTTGTTCTATCCTCAGGTGCTTTGAAGAATAGTTTGACTCCCTCTTCTTTGTGGCAACCCCTGAGATATTGGAACACTGCTATCATGTCTCCCCTAGTCCTTCTCTTCATCAAACTAGACATACCCAGTTCCTGCAACCGTTCTTCATATGTTTTAGCCTCCAGTCCCCTAATCAGCTTTGTTGCTCTTCTCTGCACTCTTTCTAGAGTCTCAGCATCTTTTTTACATCGTGGCGACCAAAACTGAATACAATATTCCAAGTGTGGCCTTACCAAGGCATTATAAAGTGGTATTGAACATCTTGAACCTCCTGTAAACCAGGTGGTTGTTTAATCTCTTCAGGTCCAGGATTGCCCTCTACCCTCCCGAGGTCTTTGGGACTACAAATAGGATGGAGTAGAATCCCTGCCCCTCTTGGTTCTCTGGAACCGGTTGGATAGCTTGAATGTCCAACAAATGTTGGATTGCGGCCTCTGAGAGGCCTCTCTGTGTTGTCTTTTGAGATGGGGCAACGAATGAAGAATCTTGGGGGTGTGGAGAGAAATTTGAGGGTGAGATCTAGTCTCACTGTGTTCCAATGCATTTTGGTCAGCTCCCATGTGAGCTGTGGTTTTAGCCTTATATAGGAGAGATTTAAAGAGGGCCGGGGGGGGGGGGGGGTTGGAGCTATTCCCTCATCCTCTGAAAGGACCAGTTCTTTCTGGTCGTCATCTCCTGAAAGTGAGTCTGCTCTGCATGGATGAAGGACGTGAGGCCCCTGAAAAGCCACCAAGTCTCTTTGAACCTGGGGTGCTAGGTGTTGGCCTTGATGTAGTGGGGTGTGACAGAAGCAGTCTGATGGCCTTGCTGCAAGCCTGCAGCAATCCCCTGGGCTATGGCCTCTTGAGATCAGAAGTTTCATCTGATCAGAAATTTCAGGCCCCTGGCTGTCCCTTATGCAGAGCCCCGCCGCTATGGGTGTAAAGGTGGCCTCTAGAGCAGGATTCCTGGTGGCTCCCAATGTCTTTCTGCTGGCAGGTTTGACAGTGGAGCAAAAAAGACCTCATTGCTGACTGATATAAATGGTGGCTGAGAGGATTGCTCTCTGGCACCATGTGGCAACCAGGCCTGAGAGCTGAATGCATTCTGTTGCCTTGCATCATTCAAATGATCTAACAGCTGTAAATAGCAGGAAATGACAGGTCTTCCCCTAGGGGAATTTTCCTGTCTCCTTCGCTTGGCTTCTCCCTCAACCTTGACAACTTCTTTGTCCAGGGCCTTTTGATACTTCCGGGCATCCTTCTCCTCAGCCTTAGAGGCCTTTTTGGAGGACAGGGCTTTTGTTCTTATCCGGGCAGCCGCTCCTTTAATGGCCAATTTCGGCACTGCGGAGCTTTTCTTGGGGATTTGGGACAGGACTGGGTAACCCTGGTCTTCCCCACTCAGTTGTGGCACCTCTGATGGTGTGGAATCCACCATTTTGAGCTTTTTGGCCCTCTGGCAAGGCAGGCTCGCTTCGGATAGGAACCCTACTGCCGCGGCTTTTCCTGCTTCGCTGCTGCAGAGTATGCACCTGGAGTTAACTAGGCAGTGATCCCAGTCCCCTCCGCTGTCTGTGGGTAGATGACAGGGATCTCAGCTCTATCCGCTTGAGCCGGATCAAGGCGGCTGTGCCGGATGGACTGGGGACCCAGCTGGGTCGAAAGCTGCTATGCTGGACGGACTGGGGAGCCAGCCAGGTCGAAGGTGGCTATGCCGGATGGACCACGGAGCCAGCCGAGCCCGTTCGCTTCTTTGCGAAGGCTTACACAATGCCAAGGATCTTACTGTGGAGATGAGCAAGAATCCAAGGAATAAACTCTTGTCTTTTTGTCCTAATTCTCCTGAGGAGCTATCTTCCAAGTGTGTCTCTGAGCCAAGACTCAGTCAAAACTGGGATCACAGGCAAAGGAGGCGTGACCAAAGTAGATTGACAGACTCAGTCTCAGAACAGAAAGGCAAGAGTTAACCCATTCCTTGGATTCTCCTCAGCACATAGGAGAAGGGATGCATACTATTTCATGAAGTAAATTTTGTGGTTAACTCCTTTTACTGTCAATAAAATCACTATGATATCCAGCCTAAATATTAACTAATTACAACCCACTTATTCTGATCCCACACCCTGGGGAAATGGAAAACAAATCCAATCCTTTGTAGGACAGCCCTTTAGGTAAGATTCTTATCAGTCTTCTGTTCTACAGCCTAAATCAGTGATAGCTAACCTTTTCCAGACCGAGTGCCCAAAGTGCATGCGCAAATGCACGCACGTGCCCCCGAACTCCCAAAATGCAATGCACGTGCGGCCCCTGTGCATGCACGGCAGAGCTGAACTGGGGCGACGGCTCACGTGCCCACAGAGAGGGTGCTGCGTGCCACCTCTGGCACGTGTGCCATAGGTTCACCACTGGCCTAAATATATCCAATTCCTTCAATTGTTCCATGTAGAACTTCGTTCTCTGAACTTGCTTTAATTTTTTAATGTCCTTTTTGGACTGCAATGCCTAGATATGTTCTTTGGGAAGTGCTACTAGAAGCATACTGCTCAACATAAGCTTTATTTCCAAAAGTCAATGAAATTTTATTTGAATACTAGCATCATTGAGTGCCAAATTATATCTGATGTTCAATATTTCCTTGTGTGTCCCACCCAATAATCAAATCAATTCCTTGTGGGCCCAATCTAATAAATCAATAATTCTTTATGTGTCCAAACAAATTTCTTGTGTGTCTAATATGTCTTTACATTTAACAAGAGGATTTTTAAAAAGTGAACATAAGATTCTGAGAAGTTCTGGATCACAGCAGAGAAAGATAAACTTTTAATCACTGAAGTACCAATTTGTATTAGAAGGAATTCCCCATCTATATAGTTTGTCAAATTCCCCCAAATTAATGTCCTGCAATTTATTTCAATTGACAAACTATTTTGAATATTACCCTTCCCATCCCACCTAGAAAATATTGCATATTTGCATCAAACAAAATATATTCCGATGCTCTATTCAACTGGAGCAGCATAAATAAACATTTGCAGTATTTAGAGTATTGTGCTTTTATGGCAATGTTAAACATACCTTTTCTGGCTTCAGTTTTAGTTCTTTTGTTATTGCGACACCTAAGGCAGCAAAAGCTTCATTAATTTCATACAGATCAACTTGATCCAATGTCCAACCAGCTTTTTCCACCTGCAAGATCAACAAGCTTGTTCAGTTAACACGGTTAAAAATCATGGCTGAATTCTATTAAAAAACAATGAGTCCTGTTCTATTTTTTCCCAACATTTGTAATAGTTAGAGATAAATGAGGCTCTGGTTACAAATACAGTGTTTAATAAACAATTCGATGCTCAAATCAATATTTAAGAGACAGTACTGAAATAAACTCTAGTCTGGAATTTAAAATGCATAAGGTGTAGGGCAGTGGTGGGTTGCCCCCAGTTCGGACTAGTTCACAAGAACCAGTAGTAACCGGTGCCCCGCCCACCGCCTCAGATGTCGTCAGCGATCTGCGCATGCGTAGAAGCTTCCCGTTGCAAACCAGTAGTAAAGGTAAGTATAACCCACCCCTGGAGTAGGACCACAAATACATACAATTCCAATGTCACCACTGATGGATTTATCCCCTCCAATAGCTATGATAAAAATGCACAATTCAATTAACTCTTGAGAGTTCAATCTTCACTAATGACCAATGCACTTGTTTTCTTTCCACTAAAGGATATGTGCACCTGCACAAGTACATACACAAATATACATTTAATATCCAGAAAAAAATGGCTGGAAAAATTCACTAACGAGAATGAATGAAACATTTATTAGCAAAGCTACCATAACTCTAAACAGGATTGGAATGGGTTACACATATTATGATCTGAATATACTAGGCTTAAAAAACAGTTTGATTTTCAGAATTAACAGATTAATTCAGTGTAATGGACCCTGTTCCCTACTTACAGCTTTTTTTATTGCCGTGATAGGTGCTATTCCCATAACTGAAGGATCAATACCAACTTGAGCTGAAGACACGATCCGTGCCAAAGGAATGAGATTTCGTTTAACTGCTTCTGATCTTTTCATAAGAATAACAGCAGCAGCACCATCATTTATACCTGAAGAGAAAAACAACTAAAGCTAGCTTTAAAGTATCTAACAAAGCTTGATACTTCTCCAGATACATCAGTTTTGCCCAGATTTATCTTCATGGATATTTCTATCATAAAGCACTAATTTCCAGTGGATTTTTTTTAAAAATTTGGCCAGGATGAGGCATAAGAAAAAAAGAAATTTCCCCCAGAAAAGATCTGTGATCTGTTCCTTAAACTAACATGTTTCTTTAATCATCAAAGTTAAGTCACTTGCAGACAAAACAAATCCTCCTTAGCAATTCTCACAGCTGGTTATCACCATCAAAGTTTTTTTTACTTTTTTCAACAATAAGTGTCCAATGTTGTAATGATCCAATTTGGAGGTGTCTCTCCAGAGTCCACAATTCCAATCAACAGTCTGTAAAAGTATTCATTTTGTTTATAATCCACATCGCCAATCTTCACTAACTTTTTATCCTCTTATTTTTTGTCAATTTATAGTCTAATTTAAAATTTCAAAGTCCGCTTTTCCCCCTTTTCTTTTCCTTGATATAAAACTTCTATTACAGGTCTTTTTAGATTTCCCTTTATTTTTTGTCAAATTAAAGAAAGATCTTTTCAATTTCTTTCTGGGTTCTTAATTCTTCTAATTTTTTAAAGTTCTCCAAGTATTTTAATCCAAAAGAAACAATTTTCTGGTCGGGTTTTGTCACTTTGTACCTTCCGCTTTAATTTTCTTGTTCCGTCCTTTCCCACACCCGCTAGCCGCTGGGACATTTATAAATAATTTAAAAGTCCTCTCCCCCCCACTTTTCCTGCCTATGAGCTAGTTGTCACTCACCCGTTATCAATGTTCTGCTCAATTCGCCGCTCCTGCACAATACTTATTCTGGTTGCCCCAGTTTACTGCAGTCGCAATGGCCGCTGCCCCCCGCTGCCGAGTCAGGGAGAGTTTCCTCTGACCTCTGAGGAACTTGCCTGTTCCTCTTGGTCTTCTGAGGTGCCTCTCCGTCTTCCCTGTCCCTACAGGACAGGTCCGGTCCGAAGACCCCTCGGCAGCGGTTCATCAGCCAGGATTTCACAAAACTCATCAGAGCCTGCTAATCCCAGACTGTCTCGCCACAACGCTTCCAGTCCAAACTAACTAACATAGTTTACCTCTGAAACAACTCTTAACTTTTTAGGTTAGATATATAGATGCTTTAAGTTCATATTTAATTCAAAAGTACATACAGGTAATGCCCAGCATATAAGCGTTCATTTAGCGCCTTTTCGAAGTTACAAAATAAACGCCCCCTAGTGTTTACGAGCAAGTCCCAAAATTACGAATGTTGCAGCATCGCAGCAGTTGTTCTCCTCGTGAAAAGTGTTTGCAATATCTGTCTCCTGTTCCCCACCCCACCCCCAACTCTTTCTCACCACCACCAGGGCACTTTTTGGAGATCTGAATGACACTGGAAGCGTCACGGAGGGATTTGCTCCATTTTGAAATGCCCCATAGATGCCGATAAGGCCTTTGAAAATGGAGGGACCCTTTTGAAAGGCCTCATAGGTGTCTATGGGGCATTTCAAAATGAAGCAAATCTCTCCATTTTCAAAGTCCCCATTTCAAGCATCCAGCCACTGTCAGGTCCACATCTGGGCCTGGAAAAGTGTCCCAGTGGTGGTGGTGGAAAGGAGTTGGGAGAGAAGTAGGAGACAGGGACAGAAACACTTTGCGCCCAGGAGCTTCCATTGACTCTTCTCTCTCTCAAAGCGAAGGAAACTGTGGCAAAGAGGAGTCAGATCTTTGCAAGGTGAGTCCAGCATGGCAGAGAGTGGGAAGCTGTTCTGCCCCAGCTACGGACCCCAAAGAACACAGCATACACAAGTACAATTTTAAGTCAGTCTTTTCTGAACAAGGGCTGTTAATTTAATTTCATTAACAGCTAACAAGAATTCAAAGAACAATAACTCAGTTCTGAGGCACAGTATTTCAGATAACCATAATCTTACTGTAGTTGGCAGAATGCCCAGAAGCAATTTGCAGGAAAACTGATGAAAGAGAAACAAGAGCCAAATCAAAATGTTTCTGGAATCAAGACACGAAGGTATTTGAACGAAGTTGTTTCCTGCAAATTGCATCAGTCATCGTCCTTCCTTAAATAGGCTAGGGGAGGGGCCAATTAGCCCCAAGCCTTACTCTCGAGGAGACCTCCTCCTGAGGAGTCACTCCTGCCTTTTAACAGCTCTACGTGCTTGTGCATCAAGAAGAGGCTCCTCTTCTTCTTCTACTTCACTTATGGGAGCTTCTGAAGGCCATGGTTGAATCCCCGCCTCTGGCACCACCTCTTCTCCAGCCTCCTCATTGTCTGACTCGAGTGCCAGCTGCACAGGCTGCTGGTGCAGTACCACACCAGCCTCCTCGCTGTCGGAATCAGCTACCAGCTGCACAGGCCGTTGATGGGCCATAACAGAAGCATGAGGTATCTCAGTGGGTTGGGGAGGCCTATTCCATCAGTAGCCCCCCCCCCCCGGGCCCCCCCCCCCCCCGAGATACCTCATGTACACTTAACAAACCGTGCATTCGCCCACGCATTAAATTAGTGAACGGGTGGACAAAAGCAGGTAGTCATCTCATTCAAGGTATGAGATTCACTCCCACGAATCCTCGAGGTATGAATGGAATGGGCAGGGTCCATTACATTTGTAACTGGTGGACTACCTGTAGTACCAGAATCAAAACTTTTGCAGTTGTAATTAATGATCAGTACCATTGTTTCTTCTTCTGTATTTATTTGTTTTTTGTTTTGCCATTTTGAGGGAGGTGGACTTGGTATTAGGTATAATTTTTGAATGGTTTTTTGGGGTGTTTTTCTTTAATTTAATGTACTTTCTATCTGGTCCTTTGCATTCTTTGTCCAACACCTTATTCACACAACACCACACTCCAATAATTCATGTTTCTTCCACTAAATCCAAACTGTGCCAATTAAATTAGAAAAATGTCCCCATCCCCTTATTCTTCATCCTTAATAAAATCGGATTGCTAAAACCAGAACAGATCCGATTTTATGACTTATCTTTAAATTGTTCCACAAACCAACCTGAGGCATTTGCTGCAGTCACGGTGCCTGTCCCATCAGTTATGAAGCAAGGTTTCAACTTTGCCACTGTTTCTAGGTTGCACCCATGGCGAGGATGTTCATCAGCTTTAACTTCTGTGGGGCCTGTCAAAAGAAGTATTTCAGCAGCAGCCATTTTATACTTGGTGCAAAAAAAGGAAAGGTGGAATTTTCCTATTAGTAATTCTACTTCCCATGCTACGCAAAGATATGAACTGCCCTTACCGATGGTATTTTAACATCTGATAAACTGTCAAAGATGTATAAGGGGTGTCAAACATATGTTGGAAATGTTAATACCTTTGAAGGTACGTTTTTATCACCATAGAATTCTACATTGGGGTTTAAGTACAGTATGAACCCAATCTGTTGTTTGATTGATTTTGGATTAGCGTAAGAAGTAAAGTCCATCCGCTGTGATTTATTCAACATATCACTATTAACCAAACTATAGCATAAATAAATATATTAAACTCATAATAGGGCCCCAAAAATGGATTTATGTCTTGAAATTTTAAAATTCAGTGAGATTATTCTTTAAATTACTATTAAATTAATTAAAAAAAATTAAAAAAAATACATGTTAATGAAACAGGAAGAAACTTTGGTTCAATCTATGAACCACTTCAAAACTGACATTGTTGTAGCAATGAATGTTAGATATCATTCTTTCCAGATCTCTAATTATTCTTCTCTTTTCAAAGTCTAGATGTTTATAATTGGGAGCACACAATGGTTACATTCACAATTTTATCTCCGTCTAGCAGTAAAGACTGCTTTACTAATTATGCCTGAAGTTACTAAGTGTCTCTCCCTTCCCTGTACACCAATTATTGTAACACATGAGGGCGGAAGAATTGAAGCAAATAAACATGAATACAAAGATGAATCGTTATAGTTAGAAACATATCCCATCCCCTTGTCCATTATGTCAAACTGCTCACTGACCTCTTCTAGAAGGTACAACAACAGGTACAATCTCTTTATCAAAATATCCACCCTTCTGGGCATTTTCAGCCTTGTTCTGAGACATTACAGCCTGCTGGTCTTGTTCTTTTCGAGTAACCTTCCATTGTTTGGCCACATTTTCAGCTGAAATAATTAAAAAATACAGTAGATACTCTAATCACAATGCGTCAGAATTTAGTTACTATATACTTATTATATTTATTACACTAATTCTTCTAATACTGATAACAGAATGCATCGTTTACAGCATGTAATGTTCATACATTCCCACCAGGTTTGAATTGGGCTTTGTTGGAAATGTACTTCCACTGAATATATGAGTGCACAACACCACAAGCAAAGAAATGCAATTCTGAAATCCTGTGAGGTTGATCCTACTTGACTAGGTGATTAGGACAAAAGAAGCTATTGAAAATCAACTGAGCAAGAGGTCCAAATGGCTGCAAAGTGGTGGATGCCTTTGAAGATTATTTACAACCCTCTCTTAAGCATTTTACAGATTCAGCTTATTGCCCCCAACAATATGGATCCTTACTTTACCGCCATCAGAAGGATGGAAGGCTGAGTCAATCTTGAGCCGGGAAGAATCGAACTGCCGAACTGTTGGCAGCTGGCAGTTAGCAGAAGTAGCCTGCAGCACTCTGCCACCATGGCTCTTAAGCAGTTGTATTGTATATGCTATTGTAGTGTGTGGGTACAGGGATTCATTGCAATTACAGCTGGCAAGCCTACATTGCAGCTAGACATTGCTGAATATTTTTCCTCCCATCCTTATAATTCTTGCTTCCTCTCCACTCTTCCTTTTTCCATGAAATAAAGCCGGGACACACTTTTATCCAATCTTCTTGTAAATCTTGTTCATATGGCTTACCTGTAATACCCATGTGATAACTGTAGAAGGCATCTGTCAAGCCATCTACAATAATACTGTCTTGCAAAGAGGTTTCTCCCATCTTCACGGCATTACGCAAATGGATGACATGAGGAGCCTATGAAAAAAACATTTTAACACATTTAGGACTTCGAAGCAACTTTCTTTAGAAGTGGATGGAAATAACCTCTGGGGCGCCCATTCTCGCTGTATGACCCTTCCATTCATTGGACATAAGTAAATCTAACATAGAGAAGGTATTTCAACTGAGTTGTAGAACACATGCTTTGTATGCATGAAGTCTCAGCTTCGATTCCTGATATTTCCCATTTGAAGAATGACATGGTATGTATGAATGAGAGTGTAAGAAAAAAGAAGCTTCCATATTGCTTCCTCCTGGATTCTAGCTAAAACGTAAAATGTGAGGACAGTCGTAAGTTCGAGGACTGGTCAAAAGTGTGAGGACCAGTCAGAAATAACTTTTTCAGCCCTCTGAGTAGTCCATATGCATAAAAGGATACAGCAATAGAGAGGGATGAAGGAAGGGAAGGGAAATTAGAGTAGGAGGGAGGGTAAGAGAGGGAGGAAGAGAGGAGGAGAAGGAGAAAGGAAGAAGTAGGGAGGAGAAGAAGAGGGGGAGGAAGAGAAAGTAAGAAGGAAAGAAAAGAGAGGTGGTAGGTTTGAGGAGAAAGATTGCTGTACAATAAAAAAGATGAAAGGGAAGAAAGCCAACCCCAAACAAATATAAGGATATTAAGATAAAGAATGAATTGTTAACTTTAAAGAATAAAAGAGAACAAATATGAATAAATAACAATAATTAGAAACACACATACAAACATACAATGTATTTTCTTTGAACAGAGTATTTGGCCGGTTCACAAATTTAAACAGTGTTTAGTCATTTCAATTAAATTTACAATTTCTATATTTCCTTTTTGCCATATTTATTCCTCATCTATTTTTGTAAAAAACCAATATTACCCTTCATCCTCATCTCTAATCTTAATCAAATTCAATTTTTCCCTTCTATTCTATATTATACCCCTTCCCATTGTCATCTATTTTTATATCCATCCTCACATTGGTTAATTATGTAATATTAGTTGTTTAATATAAATTCAACATTTTAATATAAATCAATTAGTTATATAACTACCTTTTTTGTATATTAATCAGTATGAACATGAATATTCCAATTATTTCCATGCAATCCAATTTCTTACAAATCAATTAATTATATTTACCAATAATAATAAACCAAATAATTTCCCCCATATATTCCTCCAAACCACAACTTAACCATTTCTGCTTTCAGAAATATACAATTAATAGTATCTCAATTATTACAATTCCCTAGTTAAATAGAGCTTTTTTTCTTTTGTGTTTTAAAATCTTGAACTCTCCTCTTTTTCCCTAAATTTCCCATTGTTTGCACCTACCTTTTTTGGGGAGGAAAAAGAAAAGAATTCTGCCTGCCTAATTTTCCAACTGTTGCAGCAACAGCAAAGCAGTTTTAGTTTCGTGTTTCAGCAGAGCTAAGGGAAAAAAAATCTGCTCCAGGACTCTTTGCAAGGAAGCAGCAGAGCCCTGAGCAAAACAGCTGAGAGCAAATCAGCTGAGAGTTGGGAGGCCGATAGAATCAAGGGGCTAATTAGCCTATGCTGAAGCTCCGTGGGCCAATAAAATTACAAAAAAAACCGAACCATTTGTTAAATTGCTGACTTGCCTGCCCCTCGCCCACCACTATTTATTGGCAATAAATAGTGGTGGGGAGGGGAGGGGCAAGCCAGCAATTTAACAAACAGTTCGGCTGCACCACTGGCTATAGGGTGGCCCTTTGAAGCCCCGCGGCAAGAATTTGAAGATTTTTTTTCCTCTAGCCATCAGCTGGGACTCCGGAGGCAGCAATAGATTGGGAGTGGGCAGGGTAAGCGAATGGCCGGCGATCCAACAGAGCAGAGAGTGAGGGTGAGTGAAGGCGTGGAAGCTGCTTTCTCCATCCTGCTCTCTTGCGTCTGGAGCCGGTGGGGAACCACGTGGCAGCCCACGTGGATCCCAGGCAGCGGAACTCAGGCTAGGGAAGGGGTGGGCAATTGTGGCTCTTTTACAATCTGTGGCCTTCAACTCCCAGAATTCCTGAGCTCTCAGGAATTCTGGAAGTTAAAGTCCACAGGTTGTAAAAGAGCCACAATTGCCTACCCCTGGCTAGGATAGGCTGGTGCCACGTGGATGGGAGGCGGGGCGGGGGCGAGGGGCGGGCGAGCCAGCAATTTAACAAATGGTTCGGTGTGCTGCAGGGCCAATAAATTACAAAAAAACACTGAACCGTTTGTTAAATTGCTGGCTCGCTCGCCCCATTTATTGGAATAAATAGTAGTGCGGAGGGGCGGGGCAAGGGGCAGTGTGAGCCAGCAATTTAACAAAGGGTTCGGCCGAACCCCCTAGAACCCCCAGAATCCCACCAGTGGTTACATCCACAATTTTATTTCCATCTAGCAGTAAAGACTGCTTTACTAATTATGCCTGAGGTTACTAAGTGTCTCTCCCTTCCCGGTACACCAATTATTCTAACACATGAGGGCGGAAGGATTGAAGCAAATAAAAATACAAAGATGAATCGTTATAGTTAGAAACATATCCCATCCCCTTGTCCACTATGTCAAACTGCTCACTGACCTCTTTTAGAAGGTACAACAACAGGTACAATCTCTTTATCAAAATATCCTCCCTTCTGGGCATTTTCAGCCTTGTTCTGTGACATTACAGCATGTTGGTCTTGTTCTTCTCGAGTAACCTTCCATTGTTTGGCCACATTTTCAGCTGAAACAATTAAAAAGTGCAGTAGATACTCTAATCACAATGCGTCAGAATTTAGTTACTATATACATATTGTATTTATTACACCGATTCTTCTAATACTGATAAGAGAATGCATCGTTTGCGGCATGTAATGTTCACACATTCCCACCAGTTTTTGGACTGGGCTTTCTTGGAAATGTATTTCCACTGAATAAATGAGTGCACAAGGCAAAGAAATGCAATTCTGAAATCCTGTGAGGTTGATCCTACTTGATTAGGTGATTAGGACAAAAGAAGCTATTGAAAATCAACTGAGCAAGAGGTGCAAATGGCTGCAAAGTGGAGGAAAATATTTGAAGATAATTTACAACCCACTCTAAGCGGTTACAGAGTCAGCGTATTGCCCCCAACAATCTGGATCCTTACTTTACTGCCATCAGAAGGATGGAAGGCTGCGTCAACCTTGAACTGTTAAGAATCGAACTGCCAAATTGTTGGCAGCTGGCAGTCAGCAGAAATAGCCTGCAGCACTGTGCCACCACAGCTCTTAAGCAGGTATTTCCATGCTTTTGCAGAATGTGGGTAGAAGGATTTATTGCAATTACAGCTGGCAAGCCTACATTGAAGCTAGACATTGCTCAATATTTGTCCTCCATCCTTATAATTGTTGCTTTCTCTCCACTTTTCCTTTTTCTGTGTAATAAAGCCGGGATACACTTTCATCTAATCTTCTTGTAAATCTTCTTTTCAGGTGGCTTACCTGTAACTCCCATGTGACAACAGTAGAAGGCATCTGTCAAGCCGTCTACAATAAGAGTGTCTTCCAAAGAGGCTTCCCCCATCTTCACCCCATCACGCAAACGGATGATATGAGGAGCCTGGAAAAAAACATTTTAACACATTTAGGACATTGAAAGCAACTTTCTTTAGAAGTGGATGGAAATAACCTCTGGGGCGCCCATTCTCACTATATGACCCTTCCATTTATTGGACATAAGTAAATCTAATATAGAGAAGGTATCTCAACTCAGTTGTAGAGCACATGCTTTGTATGCATGAGGTTTCAGTTTCGATTCCTGATATTTCCCATTTGAAGAATCACATGGTATGTATGAATGAGAAAGAATGTAAGAAAAAAGAAGCTTCCATATTGCTTCCTCCTGGATTCTAGCTGGGAGGAAGGTGAAGGCTTGAAATAAGCTAAAGAATATTTCACTTTAAGACTAGAGGCATCTGCAGCTGAAAGACATATACACATCTACTATATGCACAATAATCTCACTGCTATTTTTTATCAGAAGCAACAGTAAGACAAAAGGATCAGAAGAACTGTTTGGCCTAAGTCTCTCTCCCTCTCTTTCAGCACTGACATCAGCATGAAGTTCGGCCTGAACAAATGCGCCACAGTGGCACTGAAGAAAGGGAAGATCATAGACAGTGATGGAATTGAAATGCCCAATGGACAAACCATCAAGTGCCAGCAACCCGAAGCCTACAAATATCTGGGCATACTGCAGCCTGACAACATCAAGCACGGGCAAGTGAAAAATGAAAAGAATACACACAAAGGGGCCGGAAACTTCTAAAAAGCAAACTGAATGGCGGTAACACCATCAAGGCTATAAATATTTGGGCCATACCCGTCATCAGATATACTGCTGCGATCGTGAACTGGACACAGGCATAGCTGGACAGCCTGGATAGGAAAACAAGAAAACTGATGACCATATACTATGTGTTGCACCTGCGTAGTGATGTTGACAGGCTATATTTGCCCAGAAAAGCCAGAGGCAGAGGACTTTTGCAAGTGAAGCAGTCGAAGAAGAGAAGCATGCTCTGGCAGATTATGTGAAAGACAGTGTTGAACCAGCTTTGATGGAGGTCAACAAGAGGAAGCTGCTCAAAGTGCAGCAAACCAAGAATCAAAATAGGAAAACAGCATTGCAAACTCGGGCTGACAGCTGGTGTAATAAAGCACTGCATGGACAGTTTCTTGAAAAGATCCAAGGAAAAGTAGATAAGGAAAAGACCTGGTTATGGCTGACCAACGGAACATTGAAGAAAGAGACAGAAGGCCTGATTCTTGCAGCCCAAGAACAAGCCATCAGAACAAATGTAAACAAAGCCAGAATAGAAAGATCTGCAGAAATGCAGACTCTGCAAAGAAGCGGATGAAACCATTGACCACATACTGAGCTATTGCAAGACAATAGCTCAGACTGACTACAAACAACGTCACAACACAGTCGCTCAGATGGTCCACTGGAACTTGTGTCACAACTACCATCTGCCTGTAGCAAAGAACTGGTGGGATCATAAGCCTGAAAAAGTGGTCAAAAATGAGCATGCAAAACTGCTGTGGGACTTCCGAATACAGACACACAAAGTTTTAGAACACAATACCCCGGATATCACAATTGTGGAGAAGAAAAAGGTGTGGATCATTGACATTGCCATACCTGGTGACAGCAGAATCGACGAGAAACAACTTGAAAAAATCACCAGATATCAGGATTTGAGAATAGAACTGCAGAGACTCTGGCATAAACCAGTGCAGGTTGTCCCAGTGGTACTCGGCACACTGGGTGCTGTGCCTAAAGACCTAGGCAAACACTTAAAAACAATTGGTGCTGACAAGATCACCATTGGTCAACTGCAGAAAGCCACCTTACTGGGATCTGCTCGCATAATCCGCCGATACATCACGCAATCCTAAACGCTTGGGAAGAGTTCAACTAGTGATTTGTGATACGAAATCCAGTATGGTTATCTCGTTTGCTGTGTATACTGTCATTTTTGTGTATATAATAATAATAATAATTTTATTGTCATTGTACGTGTATACACAGTATACCCATACAACGAAATTTACTTAACACCCAAAGACCAGGTCCAACACACATAACAATCCCCAAACACACTCTCACCCACCACAATTCCCCACCCCTAAACCACCCAAACATCTACACAACAGATCAAGTAATGCTATTCAACACCTCACTGATACTGGCCCTTTAGTTCATTGTTGAATGCAATTATAGCTCTGGGATAAAAACTATTTAGAAAACGTGTGGTCCGAGTTTTAATTGTTCTGTATCTTCTGCCAGAAGGCAACAGTCCAAAAAGATTGTAAGCAGGATGGGAAGAGTCTCGGAGAATGTTATGCAACTTCCTCAAACAGCGAGATTCAAAGATGTCATCCAGGGCTGGTAGCTGGAGCCCGATGATATTCTAGGCAGTTTTAATGATTCTCTGTAGAGCTTTTTTGTCCGCTACAGAACTGCTCCCATACCATGCAAGAATGCCGTATGTCAGGACACTCTCAATGGTGCTGCGATAGTAGGACAGAAGTAGATGCTGAGATAGATTTATCTTCCTGAGCATTCTCAGGAATACAGCCTCTTCTGTGCCTTCTTCACAAGCATGTTAACATTCATACTCCATGAGAGGTTCTTTGAGATATAAATTCCCAGAAATTTAAAACTACCAACCCTCTCCACCTCCTCACCATTTATGTACAATGGTAAATGTACATCTCTCTTCCTCCTGAAGTCAATTATAAGTTCTTTAGTTTTTTTGGTGTTAAGTGTAAGATTATTTTCTTTACACCACAATGTCAGCCCTTGTACTTCCTTTCTGTAAGCACTCATTGTTCTTATTAATGAGCCCCATCACTGTTGTGTCATCCGCAAATTTAATAATTGTGTTGGTGTTATACAATGGGGTGCAGTTATGTGTGTACAAGGAATGAAGGAAAGGGATTAGCACACAACCCTGGGGGCTCCTGTGCTTAGTATCAAAGTAGAGGAATGGTGAGATCTCATCCTTACTGACTGTGGCCTATCTGTCAGAAAATTCTTTACCCACAAACGAATTCTCTGATTTATACCCAAATTGGATTTTTAAGAAACAATCTGTTGGGTAAAATGGTGTTAAAGGCAGAGCTATAATCCACAAATAACAGCCTCGCATATGTCCCCTGTTGTTCCAAATGATTCAATACAGTATGGACAACAAGAGACATAGCATCATCAGTTGATCTATTACTCCTATATGCAAATTGGTATGGGTCCAAAGTAGATGGAAGACTAGCCTTAATACAATTCAACACCAGCCTCTCAAAACATTTCATGAAAACAGATGTTAAAGCTACTGGTCTATAATTATTAAGGGATACCACTACTGTCCCTTAGGGACTGGCACTATAATGGATGTCTTCAGGCAGGTAGGGATAGAGCACAAAATGACTACTTGGGTCTATTTCAACTTAGTTTCCCTTCAAGGTTTAGCAATAACCTGTAAAGTGTGAAGCAATTTTTTAGCAGAAAGTACTAATTCTTCTGAAGAATGACATGGTTGTGTATGGTTTCTTTTAAAAAAACTGGACCATGCTTTATAAGCTTTATAAACTCATATTGGGCTGGACATGGTGCAATTATAGAATAATGGGATTGGAAGGGACCTTGGAGTTATGTCAAGCCTCAGCCCACTGAAGCCCAAGCTATTATGGTTGCAGGTGTACCTGGTGAGAAAGAAGTTGCTCTTCATAAAGGCTCAATATACAGCTTGTGTATTCTTTAATGCAATAATTCTCCCATGGGAATCATCCTTCCATGCTTTTTAACCTCTGTGAACATCAAGCAGCCTTACCTTGCTCATGTTTTCCATACCACCAGCCACCACAATACTGGAATCTCCTGTCATAATAGACTGAGCCCCGAGACACACGGCTTTCAGGCCTGATCCACATATCATTTGACAACTCCAAGCTGGTATCACATATGGAATCCCTGCCCCGACACTGGCTTGTCGAGCAGGATTCTGGCCAGCACCTAGAGAAATAAACACATAGGAACAACTATGCAGGTCATGAAACTGGAGAAGGCTAAATTAGAAGGGGAAAACACTAGAAGGGGATCTGAAGCAGTAAAAGTATACGTAACAATACAGGCAGTTAGAACAGACGGTCATGTTGGTAATTTAACACACCCAGAATTGTGGGAAAAGAAAGCACCATTATTAGATTCTTCATTACATTCCTGTCTTTGTTTGCCACCACCAACTCTTCTCTCTGATTTATGCATGCATACTTGGAATCCCTACTGTTGCAACAAGTAATGGGAACTGCAGAAGGAGAATCTATGCAAGAATAAGAAGGAAATGTCAAAGTTGTTTCATCTGCTATTTCCAGGAACATTGGACATTGCTACACAAATTGCTAGTTTGGGAGATTGACCTTGAACATATGAAAAGAAAGAAAGTACAATTTCCAATAAATAAAACTAAAGAACCATAATTCATTCTCTCCCTCTTTTTCTCTCTCTCTCTTTAGTTTCTGCATTACAAAAATGCAAGAGAAGAGGCCATAAATGGGATCCAGATCAAAATCCTGGATAAATGCTTCATCAAGTTCATACCTGCAGTCAATACTTGTCCAAGTATAACTTCAGATACTTCTTTAGGATCAATTTTTGTCCTCTCCAACAATTCTTTAATGACTACTGAAGCCAATTCATGGGCATGCAGGGTTGACAAGACACCATTGAAGGATCCTAGATAAAATATAAAAGAAAGAGGTGTGTTTTAATTCTACTCTATTCCCTCTTTCCTTTCCTATTCTTCTTTTAAGCATTCTAGATAACATAGAAAAATTACAATCTAGGAAAATGAACAAATATATTGTCACAAGTAAATGCCTTATTCTCTGATGTGTAAATAGTATATGAACGGGATGTCAGGGGTTAATTTATTCTTCACTTCTTAATGTATTCATACTTCACCACTCCCATATCTAGCTCCACCCATTGTATATATAAGGAGCTACACACACTCTTTTCTTTGCTTCTATCTGTGAATATTTAGTGAATATAGAATGCCTTATGTAAATAAAAGAAAGTATATTTGAACTCTTAACTCTCTCATAACTTATTGAGTCTGATCCTGAAAATATTGCAACAAGCTGGTAGCAGAGGATGGTTAAATTGACTCAATAAAAACTTAAATATGTCTAAGAGAGATAGGCCCAACACCAGGGCATACAGCAAAGAAATGGAAACGGACCAAGAAACAATAGATGAGTCCACAAATGCAATCTCGAGAGAATCCGAAGTATACACAACTGAAGACGAAGAAATAATAGATGAAGATGGTGACCGAGAGGAAATTAAAATAGAAAACAACGAACTCAGGTCAGAAATATTAAAACTGTTAAAGAGCCAGAAAAACGATGAAAGCCTCATCGCGAACCTCCAAGACATGTTGAAAAACAGCGGAGCAGCGAGAGAGAACCACATCGCCACCGAAAAGTCAAAAGACTCCAAAATAGTAAGTGATACGACTAAAGAAAAGAACGCCATAAAGAAGAAAAATGGTGATCCCGCGCAAAATTTTGAATGGCAGCCATCTTGGTTCCAACAGACCTCCAGAATGAGCGAAGCAGAGCCAATCAGAAAACTTGATTCAAAATTTCTGGCGCGAAAGGCACTACTGGATAACGAAAACGAAAAAGAAAAATCAAACACCTCAGAAGAATCAGAATCAGAAAGTGAAGGTGATTCAACAGATACTCAAATAAAGTCAGCAATGAAAACGCTTTTTGCTGCATTTGGACCAAAACTAAAAATTACCAAAAAGTCAACCAGAAAACGAACGAGCAAGCCAACGTCTCAAAATTTACCCGCTCCCATCCTGACGACGAGAGCACCGACGCCTGAACCAAGAGAGCCCTGCAAATACCGTCCCACACCGCAGACCGATGAAAGCACCAACGCACTCAAGAGAAGAAAAAGAACAAGCGCCATCGTCAGAACCCCTAAGATCGAGCCAGAGACCGATTCATCTGAGGAGGAGCTGAACGAGCGAGCCGCAACGACGAGAACCTCTCACGACGACTCCAGGATCAAAATGAGCAACGCGCATGCGCGAGACTACGCAGATGACCCGGGAAGACATGAGTTGCCGAAAGGACCCTGCAGACTCGTCGCGAGCATTCCCACGCCGTTTTGTAATTTTCACCATCTACGAGACCACGGACTACCTCCGGTTGTAAGTAATGGACCTAATAATGTCGGAAACTTGCCCAGTGACTTCCCAAAGCTGAGAATAGATGGCATTAATTTACAAGAATGGTATCAGCAGCTCCAGGTGATCTTTATGAAAGAAAACTTACTGTTTTTCATCACTAATCCCCCAAAAAGACCTTGGACTTTAAAGCTAGACTGCTTACACCATAGAGCATTTTTCTTATTAATTTCTAGTGTGTCTCCTGCCATGTATCACTGTATTAAGCAAAATCTGACTGTCTCAGAAATTATTCAATGCATGTTCAACTTGTTTCACAGTGATAGTGTAGCTACCACTACAAGAATGTCTAAAGATTTCTTTTCTTCTAGGATAAAACCAGGGGTTTCCATAAGTGAACATTTAATATCTTTAAACAAAATAAGAGCTGAGCTACATTTAAGGGGGGAGGTGATTTCAGACCAAACAATGAAAAGTGTTATCATAAACTCACTTGACCCATCATGGGACAATTATATGTCACATTTAGACACAATCAATCTTGGATATTTATCCATAGAAAGTCTATCCAATAAGTTAATAGCTGAAGACAATTCAAGGAAGAGCCGCTCCAACAATCACATTGAACATAAACCATATAGAAAAGTGGTTTTCCAAGAAAGGTATAATGAAACATTCAGATGCCACAATTGTGGATCCAGGGAACACAATAGAAGAGATTGTCCCAAAATTACAAAAGAAAGACATAGGTCAGAACACAGAAACAAATACATCCATAGACAGTCTTCCATTGATAGACATAGATATAGAAGCCCACCAAATTACAAAGAATATAGAGGGGGTAGAGATAATTCAAAGGACAGAAAATCTGGTTCACTAAATGGACTAAACAAGCAAGACAACACTAACATACAGCAAACTGAGGATAATAACTGGCTTATTGATTCTGGAGCAACCAATCATACTACTAATAATAAAAACATACTATCTTCATTTATAGAAGACAAATTTGTAATAAAGGTAGCCAACCAAGAAAAGGTCCAAGTATTAGGAAGAGGAAATGTAACCTTGCCTGGTATAGGAAAAATAGAGGGGGTATTACTGATACCTGAGATACCTCATAACATATTAAGTGCCATAAAATTAAGCAGAGATTCTGATATTAATATTGTGTTCTCAAAAGGAAAAGCAACTTTGGAGAAAAATAAAACAGATATAGGTACAATAATGATTAAAGGAGGCCTACCTTATTTAATAACTAAAGAGAAATGGTTACACAACATTGATTCAAATATGGAAGATTGTATTGAACTAGATAATGAAAACATTAGCAACAGTGACAATGATGAATGTAAAATAGCTCATGATAACAAGGATGCACATAATGAAAAAAAACCAAAAATAGGTAAGCCAATTCATGATGAGTGTGCTCATATCTTACATAGGAAGTTAGGACATGCCAGTTTTCCTGTAGTACAGAAAATGACTGAACACGCAGAAGGTGTCAAAATAAAAAATTGTGAAAACTATTTGGAATGCTCAGTATGTAAGTCTACAAAACTAAAAACTAGTCCTAGGCCTAGAAAATCTACAAGGTCAACTAACAAGATTTTTGATTTAGTACACATGGACCTGGTTGGTCCACTGGCTCCATCAATCATTTATAAAAAACGTTACTTCTTAACTATTGTGGATGACTATAGTCGCTATGGATTTGTTTACACATTAAAACACAAAGATGAAACCTTTCAAAAATTTAAGGAGTTTTACAAACGCGTAGAAACACAACACAATATCAAAATAAAACAAATAATGACAGATAGGGGATGTGAATTCATGTCTAAAGAATTCTCCCAATGGTTGAAGGACAGAGGAATGTTACATTACACATCTAGCCCATTTTCCGCATTCCAGAACGGAATTGCAGAGAGGAAGAACTCAACATTACAAACCATGATTAGATGCACATTGGAAGATGCTGGCTTAAGCAAACAATTCTGGTCAGAAGCCCTACAATATTCCAATTACACACAAAATAGAACTTGGTCCAGCATTATGAATAAGACACCATATGAAGTGATGTATAATAGAAAACCAAAACTAGCACACATGCACATTTTTGGAGTCACTGCAGACGTACACATACCTAAACAATTAAGAAGAAAGGGAGAAAATGTGTCTAGAAGACTTAGATTTATGGGATATGAGACAGGTACAAAAGGATACAGATTCATTGATAATAATAACAAATTTATAGTTTCCAGAACAGCTGTGTTTCATGAACAGGCCAACTGGTCTAGAATACATCTTAATGAAATATTCCCAAACAACAACACAGATACTAAATCCCAAGAGAAAAGAACTGTAGAAAAGCAAAAGGACAACAAATATAAAAACAAAACCAAAACATGGACAAACAGTCAACACAAAATAAAGACAGATACATTAACAAAAAAGGAAGCAAGATATTTGCATGACAATAATAGTAAACCCGAGAAGCCAATTAGAAACACTAGAAACCAAATGCCAAATAAATATAAAGATTATATAATGCATATGGATGGAGAAACTATGACACCTAGCACATATGAGGAAGTGTTAAAACTTCCTCCTAAAGAAAAAGAAAAGTGGGAATTAGCAATGACAAAAGAGATGGAAAGCTTACAAGGATTAAATGTATTTACACCCGCGATTGCACCAAAGGACAAAACAATTATTGGTACTAGGTGGATATATAAAATTAAAAATTTAGAGGGAGGCAATACTCTATATAAGGCTAGATTAGTTGCACAAGGTTATGCACAGAAATATCCAGAGGACTATACTGACACTTACTCCCCCACAGTAAGAACTGAAAGTGTAAAAACGGCTCTAGTTGTAGCATCAGCACTCAATCTCGATGTATTCCAGTATGACATACAGACTGCGTATTTACACGCAAAATTAGATAAGGAAATATATGTAAGGGCACCTCACAGTCAATATACAAATAAGAATGAGATTTGGTTATTAAACAAAAGTCTATATGGGCTAAAACAATCTGGTAAACGATGGTATGATTGTTTAGTAAAAGTACTAAGAACTATGGAATTCAATGCTACCACTGCTGATAATTGTTTCTTTGTTAAAAAGGGTAATGATTACATAGAATTTGTATTGATCTATGTGGACGACATTTTATATATAGGTAATCACAAAGAAAGAAGAGAAACATTTGTAACAAAGTTGAATGAACATTTCTCATTGAAATCCTTAGGTAAAGTAAATAAATATCTTGGTGTTCAAATTAGTAAGACTAAAAGGGGATTCAAGCTTTCTCAGAAAGATAAGATCACAGAACTTTTGAACAAATGTAACCTAAATGATGCTAAACCCTGCGACACTCCAATGCAAACTGATTTCCTAAGAAATGCTGATGAATCATCCCCTGAATTCAAAGATAACACGTTCTATAGATCAATCATAGGTTCACTTCTTTACATTTCTAATTGGACAAGACCTGACATCGCTTTACCCCTTAATTTATTGTCCA